TTATTTCTCCGTTACCCAATCTCTCCTCTTTATTCCGTATATCGTATAAGCCAGACCCAGCCAGGTTTCGCAAGATACATATTAACATGTAAATTACTATTGCAAATACTATCGGAATTTTCTTAAACGTATAATATTGGTAACTTTGCTCGTGGCATATTTATTAACATTTGTTTAGGCCATCGAGTAGGCCTACTACCACTAGTATATATTATATACCACTAGGATACGCTTAGTTTTTTAAACGCTCTATAATTTTTTTGATATTAATATAGAATTTTAAATCGCTAAGATAGATGTATACACATCAAAAAATACATACATACGCATACACATAAAAATACATACACAACATAGTATAAAATTAAATAGTGGAGAAATACTGTTATTTTTGACGTTTCTAATGTGATGTCTTAAATAATTACATTTCTTCCGTGGATAGAGTATAGAACTAGATGAGCTTCTAAAATAACAATAATAACTAAAGAGAGAAGGCATTAACGTGAAATACTTAAGTGCGAGCGAAACAGAGTATCAGTTTTTCTGTCTCTATTTGCGTATCGGTTTTATTTGTTTACCACCGAGCCCTTGGTGGTAAACAATTTTTCACCGCTTACTGATAAATCTGTGAAACCCAAGTCAAACCCATATTTTAAGACTTTATCTTTATAAGGGGTGTATTTAAAGTGTCAGTCATAGTGAATTGTTGCATAATTGGCTGTAAAAGCTATAGTGAACGTAAAGAACCAAACATCTTTCATCGGTGAGTAGCTTATTTTGTCACGACTCAGTAACTTTTTTCAAGAATTATTCATTCGAATGTGTATTTTGGTCAATAATAAGCAATCTTCAATGAATTAAAACTGTAAATACGACATATGTCAATCATTCGCTATCTCACACACTGTACGCTGATGCCTGGTCTATACCATAGTCCGTCTACGAGATCTTCATAAAATAGTGACAGATCTGACAAATAGTAAACTTTACAGAGCAGCCATTTCAAAATAATATAATCATGTTATTTTTTGGTCAAATATTTTTTAATTCATATTTTGTAATTATGAAAATTGGCATACAAGCGAACAATGGGGTTTCTAGTGTAACAAAATAAAAATATTAAAATTAAATTACACAGTTTTCTAGAAAAACCAATCAGCGTCTATCAAATCCGTCACTTTACCGACTGATTAATTTGAAATTTAAAACACATGGTTTTTTTTTAATGTAGCCGTAATATTTAGTCAATGTAGTATCCAAATATGATAAAAAGTGGATTTTGGTTTTTTTTTCAAATCCGTCATTATTCTACGATAATGACTATTTTTTTCCGCTTACATTGCAAACGCAGGCTGAACCCTACGAGATTTATCAAAATATCCAAATTTAACGGTGGGGCCACGGGCAGTAATGAACAAATCAAAACTACTGGTTCGATTTTAATCATTTTTTCAGTGGGCTACATATTTTATACCCGTGCGAAGCCGGGGCGGGTCGCTAAAAAAAGGTTTCTTTATAAATGTTGTTAAGTCAAATGTGAATACAATATTAATGTAATAATTGTATTGTTTGAGGATTCAATATTTCCAAGAATAATAAGGATAATAATTTGTTTACATGAAATCCCGTTGTGGTTTTGACGTATATATAGCATATAAAATATATCACCAAGCTTTTGCTAATGCCAGAACATAATACTATAATAATTCGGATATTAAATAAATAATATACTTATTATGACAATTTTACAATTAAAATTGAATAAAAAATAAATAAATAATTAATAAATAATTAAAACAGAAATAAACAATTAAAACAAATTAATAAAAAATATATATAATTGTAATCTTGAAATTCGGTTGAATTTCTTCACTTCTTCTTAGACTAAGCAGGTTTCATGAACATTTATTTACCCTAATTCAATTAAAGCACTTCAATTTCACAACCACAGTACTCATCTCTTTTTTATCACAGTGTAAACTAATTTGCCAGAAAGAGACGAAAGAAGATATGTAAATAGTAGTGAATTCTGATCGGAATAACTTAATGAGTGACTCTGAGAAACAATGAAAGTGTAGCAAGTGTTAAGTGTCTAATGGTGATGACGCAGGCATGGAAAAGAAGATTCACTTGGATCACAGAAGGAAAGCTCGCGAGATTATGGGTACCTGATTTGTCTTTATTATAGGACTATTAAGTAGTTAGTATAACTATAGTAAAAAATTACCGTCACATTTTTCAGTTACGCGCCATCTTTTTCTTGTCCCTAGCACGGTTGATCCGAACAGATTCGAAGCCATTAATAACAAAAATATATAATAACAATGATAGTAAATTATTACAATTAATGAAATTCTGTAATCATCTTAGTAGTCAATAGGTAAAATGAATTAATTGTATTTGTATTCATGTCTAGGATAATAAAAGCCTTTTTTTAAACTTTAAGTTAACTTTATTTAACGAATTTCTGTAAAGTTGCATATAGTAGATCATTTTTCGAAAAATAAGGTCATAAAGAAGTTTCACTTCTTACGTGTGTACACCTAGTACACGCACACATTTTTTTATTATTAATAATAATAATACGGGGAGTATTATTATTATGCCATTGTGTCCAGGGACTTTTTCTATCTCTATTTTTACAATTAAACATGATACATTAAATAATTACAATAATCTACTCCACAAATGGCGTCTCGCGAAATACGCACCGGCAACATCGGTAATATTTTTATTTACAATACTCATGGGTGAGCCGGGGCGCAATTCCTCGCGAGACCCGCTCTTTCAGTCATCTGCATTTGTTGCACCAGGTCCTGCCGTAATTTATATTTAAACTAGCAGACTCGGCCAAGCGTTGCTGTGGCTAAGGTTTTTGTTATATATACCTAGTAGTAAACTATTCAAGGGAAACAGTAGGAGAACACCAGTCATGGTAAACACCATGCTTTTTTGGTGGTTATGCCATTAAATTTTAGCTTATGTGAAACGTTGGTACTTTCAACACAGCACCATCTGTTAGAATTGTGACTATCAAATAATAAACAAATAAAATAATATTGCCGGTATAGATTGAGATGTAAGCTATCCTATCTTTTAAGTTAGATCAAACCGCACACGGTGTGCAAATTTGATTGAAATCGGTTCAGTAGTTTAGGAGTCCATAGCGGACAAACAACGTGGCACGTAATTTATATATATTAAGATATTAAGATTTAGTAAAAAATAGTTTCAACAAAACTCCAAATAATTCTTTATTTATAGCATTTTGCGTTTAATATATTTAAGAATCAGGTTGGTTGCCCCAACATTTCGTGTACCCTCTAGATACTCCAAATATCACCTCATTTGTTCCTCCTGACAGAAGAACGCGTTACCCGATGTCCAGATTGAGCATTCTGATAAACGAGCTAGGTCTGGATATCCATAGGTTTCACACTTTGAAATCAATTTTCCTTTAGGTTTAATAATTTTTGTTTATACATATCTTCGTGTTTGTATGCTCATAAGTGCTTGTCACATTTAATCTTGTATTGTTGTTTTTCTTGAGTGTCAATGTGTCATTGGGCGTTGGCAAGCTTTTGTAAATAAATAAATATTATTCCGTTTTAAATTAAATAATAAAATTTCTTATTTGTATTACTAAGAGAATTGTATTAAACTATAATTTATTTGTATGAAGATTTAAATTTTTGAAGAAATCAATGAGGTGGCGTTCACGTCGAGGCAGAATACGAAATACCATCCGTATCACCTCGACGTCCGCAACTGAGCATTTCTTAAGGCAGTTTTTGCACCACTTTGTGGAATCAGCTACTCACTGAAGTATTTCCGAACCAATTCGACTTAGGGTCCTTGAAGAAAAGAGCGTCTCAATCATTAAAAGACAACGCGCTTGCGAGTCCTCTGGCATTGAGAGTGTCCAGAGGCGGTATCACTCAACATCAGATTAGCCTCCTGCCCGTTTGCCCCCTGTTCTTTAAAAAAAAAAAAAAAAAAAAAAAAAAAAAAAAAAAAAAAAAAAAACAAAAAAAAAAAAAAAAACCCCAAAATTTAAAAAAAAAAAACCCCTTTCCCCAAAAAAAAAAAAAAATTTCCCCCCTTTTTTCCAACAATTTTTTTTTAACCCCTAAAACAAAACCCCCCCCCCAAAAAAAAACCCCCCCCCCCCCCCCGGGGGGGGGGGCCCCCCCCCCCCCGGGGGGGGGGGGGGGGGGGGGGGGGGGGGGGGCCCCCCCCGGCGGGGGGGGGGGGGGGGGGGGGGGGGGGGGGGGGGGGGGAAGGGGAAGGGGGGGGGGGGGGGGGGGGGGCCCCCCCCCCCCCCCCCCCCCCCGGGCCCCCCCGGGGGGGCCCCCGGGGCCGGGGGGGGGGGGGGGGGGGGGGGGGGGGGGGGGGGGGGGGTTTTTTTCCCCCCCCCCCCCCCCCCGGCCCCCCCCCCCGGGCCCCCCGGCCCCCCCCCCCTTCCTTCCCCCCCCCCCCCCCCCCCCCCGGGGGGGGGGGGGGGGGGGGGGGGGGGAGGGAGAGGAAAAGGGGGGGGGGGGTGTTCCCCCCCCCCCCTTCTCCCCCCTTCCCCCCCCCCCCTCCAGAGAAATGTTTGCCATCACCAATTTCTCCCCATGTCTATTTCGGCAATTGATATGTATGTTTTTGTGTAGATAACATAATTTTATTGATTAAAAGTTCTATTTCAATTTAATTCATGAAATCTAAATCGTTAATCAGATGATTAACGATTTCTCTTCATTACACAGAAAGAATTCTTTCGTTTAAAGAGTGCAGTACTTTTACAAGTTAAAATATATAGCGAGAAATTTGTTTAAGTGAAATCTACCTCAGATATAATAAAAAAGTCCACGCAAAAATGTTTAAAATGTCACGGCGAGAGGAAACAGCTGCGCACGCGTTGATAAGTTATCATTTCCGTTCGTCTTTGTGATTACTCTCAGCATGCCAATTACCCCTCAAATAGTTCTGTTGCTAAATGTTGGTGTGTTCTTCAGGCGGAGCTAGTAGCAGCAGTTCGTCGGCGCGGAAGAGGTGACAGCGATGACGATGAGGACCTGGGTCTACCGCGGAGTCCGCCCGCATCACCACCAACTGATAAGGCTGACAAGGTAGGTTTATATATATGGTCCAAAATGGAGATTAAAAAAAAACAGTCCGACGTCAATGATAGCCAGTTCCTTAGCTATTTTTCTATCTCTAGCTAAGGGAACGTCCCCTGGAAATTTCCAGGAAACACAGGTTTTTTAGGCTATCGTTAAACCTGGATTTTAACGAAGTGAAGCTTCTTTAGGAGCATGAGGGTAAAATTTTTACGGAACGTCACGAAGATGTGCAGCGTTTTTGTCGAAGAAAAGGGTCAGAGCGATTGAGACCGATTGAGAGAGAGAGAGTCTGAAGGGCGATTATAGAAATTATATTTTTAAAATTAAAATTTGGTAAAGAGAATTTATGAAATATTAGTATTTTATATTTTATGCAAAATAATTTATTGAAATCTTAAAAATGCCACGTGTTTTTATTATCGAAGAAATAAATTAAAAAAAAAATTGATTTATAATTTGTATTAAGTTCGTTTAAATTACAGGTTTTATTAATTAGTTAACACGATTTTAATAGGCTAACGGAATGTCAATCACTTTTAATAAGCGCCATCTAGTGTCGATTAGGGAACTTATCTATGCGATTACCGTGGTACACTGACGCTCGTATAGATGGCGCTTAACTCAATGTCAAAATCAAACGTTTTGCTAAGAATTTATTTTAAGTTTCAACAGCCTATCACATTTAATATTAATTAAGCGATATACCTAGTACGTTTATGTTTAAGACACATAGACAGTAGAGTTTACACAAATAAATACACCACGCCAAGGTCGTATTGAGGTACGAAATTTGGTTCAAAATGTGACACAGTTATTCTAGCGTAAAGGTCTGTGATTGAATTTCAAATGCAAGTATATTTTGGTTAGAGTATTTAATAACACGTATTATTTAGATTTATATGGCCTCGTACGATTTTCATGCCTTAATAATAAAACTTTTTTTTTAAATTTGATTTTCGCTGCATAATGATGTAAGCAAAGTAATGATTACTCCTGGTAAGTCAAGGCAAGTCGATTCACACTGAAATGGCCTAGATCCTGTCTGGCTACAGGGCTTTTGGACACTATTTACACAGATTCAAACTGAAGACAAGCCCCGCGTGCGACTGTAGACATAGTCATAACATTTATTACTAAAAAAAACACATAAACACACTAAATAACAATAATCAAAGAAAAATAAAATAAATATCGAGATATCGAATATCGATATAGAGATATCGAAAAAATAAATATTTTTTTCCCATTCGGTTTGTTTCAAGTGTGCATGCATGTGTGCTGTGGTATCAATTGGCCATGGTTTAGCGTGCTGAGGAGCAGAATGTTCCACAGCGCTGGTCACTGACGAAAGAACCGACCAAAGGTTAATTTACTTGTTGACTGTTCGAAAGAGCCAGGGGCGATCTGGAGCTAGAGACTGACATGGTCTCCCGGGTTGGGCTATCAGACATATAAAAAATAATAAACAATATTTTGCTTTTAACATAGTCTCTGTATTTCTGGACATCCACGAGCAAAGTCGGAGGATTTATCTAGTATAGAAGATACGCGGTAGTGATTCTTCTTTACGCAATACTAAGCCGTTATACCTAATCTATTTTATATAATCATATTGTTTTCATACCATTTTAAAATAGATACTTATGTAAAACTATGTACAAGGTAAAGTGTTATGTAGATCTTAGTCCCTGGCATTAACTGTAATAACAGTAGATCTACTGAATTAAACTGTCAAACTATTAAATGTCAATGTCATTTAATTTATCACGCCTTTGTCCCGAAGGGTTAGGCAGAGATCTCGCTTCATCCACTTTCATGACATGCTCGTCGGTTATGGGTACTTTTCAATAACGCCAAATGTATTTAAAGGCAATTAATAAACAATCTTAAATCTAAAGTTTGTTATAAGTGGACAAATAATATGTATAAATAGTCTTCTGGCAATGTCCATGGACACTTAACATCAGATGAGCTTCCTGCCCGTTTGCCTCCTATTACACTAGAAAAGCACAATATAAATCTTTATTATTTTATATATTTTCGAGTTAATAAGACAGATAGTGTTTAGTATGAACTTGAGTTAAAACACAATTATCACATATTTAATGAGCTATATCAACAGTATATGTTACAAGATATCTTTTCTAAAATACATATCAATTATGATATACATAAATGTTACAAAAAATACAAGTCTACTGTATTATCTGGAGTCTATAAATTGTTATTGTTGCAGGCACTATTATTGCATTATCTGTGTACTAACGCATAGACTATAGATTAGTCTTGCCGCGACCTTTGCTAACGATGCACGCGAATGATAAATTTACGCGCGTTTTTTGTTTCGTGATAAGTGAAAATAGTTTTAGATTTTATTTATGGTGATTTGGATTAATATATAATAGTAATCAAGAATTTGTAAGTAAGTGGTTGAAAATGCAATGCCTCGCGTATATTAACTATATAATCTTTATTTTTATTAATTTTAGATTTTTGTGAGAGTTATATTTGACAAATTAAAAATCCAACATGACCAGTCAAAACTTCCGATGTTTTTTTTAATTTCTTCTAAAACAAATAATATGATGATCTAATTAGATTTCAATTTAAATTTCATGAGTCCACATATTTGTCGGTTCTAAGTCATATCGAAATAATGTCATTGTGAGTCAATCAGTAGTGAGTTTCTGGAAACCCATATTTTATAAATTTCCATATAGCTTATCACTAGTTTACAGGCTTACTTAAATTAATGTCCTTGACCCTGGATGGGGATTTCTCGCTCCAAGTCTTTTCGGCTCTCTTTGCGTCACTTGCAACTGTAAATCGCCAGGGTATGGGACGGCCATGCTTGGGGATATCATTGGAAACTTTTTGTAGTGTATGGCCTATCCACTTGCGTCCCTTGATCTGTTGGTTAATCGGGGTTTCTTGGCAAAGCTCCCAGATTTGCTCGTTAGAGATAACTTTCAGGATTATTCCTAAAATTTAAATTTTAAAATTCCAGCATTATAAATCTTGCTCTTGAAAGGCCTTGAGAAATGGTTTTTGGTACATTTTAAGTCAGTTTTACTTTAAACGAGACGGAATTGCATTTGTGCATTTGCCTCCGTAAGGGGTTGTCATGCCAATGAGTATGTAGGGCTGAACAGGCCCCAGAATCTCTGCTATTCTGGGACCACAATACCCACTAAAACTACATCAGGTAGTCTAATATTTATTTAGCAGCTAACATAAATTATATATAACAAAAAACAATTAAACTAAAAAAAATTATTTACATACAAGTATACAGTATTTACAAGTAATAATAAAAATAAAATCAAAACAAATTTAAAAAGTTTGCTCCCTGTGGCAGTGTACCTTTAACGCTGGCTGCATTTCGCTGTATTGCGATACTTATTCGTTGAGCGAGTACACCAGCTCTGGGGTCGACGGTACTATCTACCAGGCGCTACTCAATATTTAATAAGCGCCTGTGCACTCGCACCCCACGGCCCAAGAGTCTCTACTCCAAAGGGAACAAATTTGAAGTTGGAGGAAAGACTCATATATTTGTGCCAAAGATGGAATATTTACAAAAATGTTCAGAAATAGTTTTAGTTCCTACAAGGCTGCGATAGAAGCGCTCCGGGGTAGCTGTCGCATTTTCCGGGGCTGGGGTAAAATGCAATTAAAAATAGTGTCTCAAAAGACTTATTTAAAATAAAAAATCTTTTAAGAAGCAGGTTGTTCAAAAAGAAATTAAAACACAGGCGAGTTTCACATAACAAGAAATAATTTCGCACGTTAGCGATGACAAAAGTTCGGAAACAGTGAAAAATGTCAATGGAAAGTGTTATTGTATCTCCTAGTTCTGATAATAAAACAGACATATTTCTGTGTCTATAATAATAGATACATTAATTTTATTAAATTTTAATATTTATTATGCGAAGCTAACAAATTTTCTTAAATCTTCCAACTCTCTCAAAGGCCGGTAACATCAAGTAAGCCCGTTGCATTCCTCAGCCGTGGTGTATATTTGATGTGTGTTCAAAGTGACTATTCGTTTGCTTTCTGTCCGATAAAAGGTATTATTTTAGACTTAAGTTAGGCGTTTGAACCAATCACTCAAAGTCAAAGTTAAATCATTTATTTAAAAAAAAATCACTTTTGGAACTCAAAATTACAAGTCTAGTTGCCACTTCCAAAAGGTAGTTTCATATGGAGAAGAATGGGCAAGAAACTCCAACTCTAAAGCATAGTGTAATTTAAAACTGGGTGAGGGGAATACGAAATATTTTTTAAATATTAATGGATGTTAAATGTTAGAACGCGTATATTGACCTAGAAATAAATAAACATTAGATAGCAATAATTGCGGCATATTTCCTGCGCGTAATTATTTTGTTAAATATCGTACAATCTGGCCTCGTTATGCTTCTATTAACATTTAACAAAGGACTGAATATTTCATTCAAGTACTGCGATCAACGTTAATTCGGTTGTAGGCTGATGCCTCCCTCATATGGAGTAAACAATCCAAGGATTCGATATCAAGAATAAATTCGAACCTAAAGTAGTTCCTGAGAGCAATCAATGTTTACGACATTAGCATCAAATTTCGTTAAATAGATGCTTAGTAATCAACTAGTACAACGTTTTCTAGGCTCATTCTTTGCATCATATGGATAAGTATAAATTCTGCATTGGCTGCTTCTCCATAACCTACTAAAGGTTGGTGTTGTGAAGCGTGTTCTGTGCCATAGAACTCCGCAGTCGCAGTAAACGTCCACGAATGCATTATTTTTTTTCCTTCTACACACTGTTTAGGGAGCGTTCAAGTATTACGTCACGCAATGTTTGGAGATTATTGCCCCCCACCCATGTAACGCGCCGTAACGTTTTTTGTACCCAAGTATAGTAAAACGTTTCGTGACCACCTAGTGACTCTTTATGCCTAAAAGTTACCATTATGTGGTGTAAAGTACTGGAAAGTCGAAAATAATATAAACAATAACGCGTAATTCAATCCCCGCCCGCATCGTAACGTTTTACAAAAGGTCCCCCCCTCCCCAAATTAGTTACGTAATACTTGAACGCTCCCTTACACTAGATATTATTGATAGCATAGAATTTGATGATGTTCTTGGGTATGGTGATTTACCGCTGTGCTGGTACACTGTTCATAGACCGGAGACCAAAGCCTTCTGAGATCAGACCTATATCTGGGTGGAATACCTGGAGCTACCTTTGAGGACGTATTTCATTCTCAAGTAAATTTCGTGTCTCATACGACTTCAATTAGAAATGCTTCCATATTATTTGTCGAGGGATGTTTGTAATTGTATGGAAGTCTTAATAATAATAATAAGAGCCCTTTATTCGCTGAGCTTTTTAATTAACATGCTATTCTTATAAAACAGTAGATTCTTATAAAACAGTAGCATTCTTATATCTACGTAGCCAAATAGAGCAGTATTGGCCTCCTAGTGGCTTCAGCGAGCGACTCTCATACCAGAGGTCGTAGGTTCGATCCCCGGCTGTGCACCAATGGACTTTCTATGTGCACATTTAACATTTGCTCGAACGGTGAAGGAAAACATCGTGAGGAAATCGACATGTCTTAGACCCAAAAAGTCGACGGCGTGTGTCACTGGAGGCTGATCGCCTACTTGCCTATTAGATTTAAAAATGATCATGAAACAGATTCGGAAATCAAAGGCCAAGACCTAAAGAGGTTGTAGCGCCACTGATTTATTTATTTTTACGTAGCCAAATAATAAATTTATTAGCAACCACTTTGGAGAATCCCACTCATTAAAAGTTAAAAATACTATGACAACGTACGTACACAAGCTAAGGAGCGTACAAAAACAATTAAATTGCGTTTTTTCGATGTTGTCCTTAAACATAATGCTGGGAAACGGGTTTTAATTATGAACGTACGAGAATAATGAATGGATACCAGTTATTGTTTTTATGGTACCACCTGTCTGGCACTTCTTGAGAACTTACTGATAGTAATTGAAAACAGTTACAAATTGAAAATCCATTTTTCTTGGGCAACTGGTTTAACAACAGGCTGTCTTTAAACATAGGCCTTGACTAGCTAACCTTCTCCATCCTTTTTTATTCATAACAGTCCATTGGTCCACAGCCAGGACTCCTGTTCTGCCAAAACAGCTATATTTGTTTTGAAGCCCAATACCATTCATCTAGTCAATAATCAACTATAAGCGAGCAATTCATTAAATATAAAGTATTTACAATTTTCTTAATAATAATTAAAAATTATAACAATTTTAAAGTTTGGTCTCTGTCGCAGTGTACCTTCAACGCTGGCAGCATTTCCTCGCTGAATTGTAATATTTATTCGTTGAGCAAGGAAAGTACCAGCTCTGGGGTCACCGGTACTATCTACCAGGCACTAACTTAAATTAAAACATTAATTAGCGCTTGTGCACTTGAACCCCACGGCCCAAGAGTCTCTACTCCAAAGGGAACAAAATCAAAAAGACTCACAAATTATCACTAAGCCATACTTAAAAATTCGTCGATTTCTGGTGGAGGGAAGTTCGTGAACTCCACTCTAGAGAGTGCTTCCGTGACCCTTTTATTGTTGAGAGATTTAACTCATTAAAACTTGGGGCCAGGCCCCAGCCTCCAGGACTTAAATTGGACCTCTATCAAGTAAAATCCAATTCGACTTAGGGTCCTGCACTCGGAGACTTTTTTGTGAGAGACCCTTTTTTGTGTATCAAATCAAAATAATTTATTCATTTAGGTACACTTATGAACGTCAAAAAGAAATACATATTATATCTAATTTTACATTTACTGCCAGTTCCCAAATCAAGGGCGTAGAACGGAAGAGATCTGGCAATGAACTCTCCGCCACTCTTTTTATATACATACATACGGGCATACTCATCTGATGCTAAGCCGCCCATGGACACTTTTAATGCCAGAGGGCACTTAACATCATGAATCTCTGACCCGTTTGGCCTAAAAAAGACAGTTTGTATACCATACAAAATATCAATGTGCATAGCCACGTATCTACACCGTCATTATTCATTTGTAAAGAAATTCTCAACACGATGACTTGTAATCAATATCGAATTCTCACGTCATTCCGTTATTCATTCACTGTTACTTGTTAACTGTTGACTAATATTTCAAGCGCTTTTAAAATCCATTTGAGGTTAAAATATGAATGAAAGTACATTAAAGTCGTAGGCCACCAATACATCTTGACTCAATACCAATTCTTAAAAGGCCGGCAACGCTCTCGCGAGCTCTCTGGCATTAAGAGTGTCTATGGTCTCGCATGCTAGACGGGTCCTTCAAGAAAAGACCTTACCAATTCCTAAAGGCCAGCAACGCACTCGCGAGCTCTCGGGCATTGAGTGTCCATGAACTGTCCTGTCTACCAATGCCGAGTTAACTATCGGCGATGGTAGACGGGTCTTTCAAGAATAGAGCGCACCAATTCCTAAAGCCCGGTAAAGCACTCGCGAACTCTCTGGCATTGAGTGTCCATGGGCTCGACTGTCTACCATATGCTGACAACGATTGGCATATGCGAGACGGGTCCTTCAAGAAAAGAGCGTACCAAAAGGCCGGCAACGCACTTGTGAGCAGTATTTGCGCAACGCACATACTTCAGACAATGTGAGTGCCCATGGGCAGCGGTATCACTTAACATCAGATGAGCCTCCTGCCCGTTTGCCTCCTATTACATAAAAAAGGCTTAAGACATTAAGAGTTTTAACTTATTCTTAAATGAAGCAGTAGAGGGGTGCATGTGGCATGAAGACATCCTGTGATGCTGATGATGGACTCGCGGAACCCAATGTTGGTTCTAGGAGTCGGAAGGTTAAAGAACGAATGATAAAATCTGGGGCCTAGAGGTTTTCTAGGTTTATTTTTATACAATGCGCTCAATCTATTACCACGCTTAGTAGGTTTACACATCTGACCTTTGCTCTCGTGGGCGTAGGAAGCCTTTAAGGTGGAATCGATAGGTTTATGACGTCACACCTTAGAGCCTGTAATCTCTTTAGTAATGGAATTTATTGCGTTGTAAAACAGTATTTTTGAACAAACGCCCGTGTGGAGTTTTTCAATCATGAGCAGTGCCTTGGGCAAAGCCTGTTATATTTCTTCTTTATTATTGCTACTAGTTTGTTTGTCGTTCTCCGGATTTATAAATTTTGTGCTGTCATGTTTTGTTTTGCTTTCTATCATATTTTTTATCAGTGAAACTTTTTGTGCATTAACCAATGTGTTTATTTTATGTTTTTTTAAACTTTTTTATTGTATAGAGATGTATCTGATTGTTTCCCAAATAAATAAATAAAGACCTGGATGGGCCTTCTGTGACCTTTGCCAGCAAATCTAAAGCGTAAATTCCTCACGATGTTTTTCTTCACCAAGCAAGAATTATATAGAAAGTTACGTCTAGGCTAACAATCTCAATAAGCTTATTTATTTCGTAATCCTACAGCTAACATAAATTATATATAATAAAAAACTATTACACTAAACATATATATAAAATAGATGGAATACATTATACAGTCAAAAAAACGACATCGTTCTGACAGATTTTGACTTCGATGTCGAACTACTCATATTTGGTCGCAAAAACCTTTCGTCCTAACAGCCGATGACGTTGTTAAGAACCGAATACAATAGAATTCAGCTGGGACCTTTGATTTTGGTCAATATAACCGGTATGTTGTTCAAACGATGTCGTCTTAATCGGTTTTGACTGTATATACAATAGGAAAAAAATTCATACATTTAAAAGTAATACCTAATTCAATTCTGTGGTGTTTGTTTTGGTGAGAAAGTGGAGATACATACGCGAGGGTGTGAGGAGTGTGTGTAAAAAAAAAATCAGTGGCGCTACAACCTCTTTAGGTCTGACCCTCAGATTTCTGAATCTATTTCATGATCATTTTTCAATCTAATAGGCAAGTAGGTGATCAGCCTGTCCTGAAACACCTGTTGACTTTTGGGTTCCGGTTTCCTCACGATGTTTTCCTTCACCGTTCAAGCGAATGTTAAGTGCGCCCATAGAAAGAACGTCCATTGGTGCACAGCTGGGAATCAAACCTACGACCTCAGGGACGAGAGTCGCACACTGAAGCCACTGGGCCAACACTGCTCATGCTGTATTGCATCATTATGTTTACGCGTATTCTGAATTCTGAGTTTGTGACATTCAGTTAGCGAAGTCCAAGTTCGTTGTATAAATCTCCATTTCATAATTATAAATTTGGAGAAAACAATTCAATACGACCTTGACCGAGTTCGTGACGAAATTTTATCTATGCTTATCAATTTTGTAATTATTTGTAATGGGTCAAAGTTCTTGGTGACTTTAAATTGAATTATAAAAACTTTCGCAACTACATAGAACTTGTTTTAAACGCGTTTATTAAATATTTCCGAACCGATTCTATCTGGGGTCCTTTGACAACGTACCAATTTATAAAAGACCTGCAATCTGTGTGTCCCCGGGAATGCTTCTTTTCCCTGACCAGGTTGACAGATCATTATTTAATGCTTCCTATTATGAAATTCTATACTCAAATGTTTTCAATCCCAAAACTCCCTCCTATCTTAAAAATAGTTTTAAGTGCTCAGGTCCTTATAACTGTTAGTTATTACGCTCCTCTAATAGCTGCTTTTTGGAAATTCCATCTCACAGCTCATCCTTCATCGGCAATTCGTTTAGGATCTCCGCCATTAGTTGTGGAATAGGCTGCCCGACTCCAAATGATTGGCTACCTTCCTAACATCTCTTAAAACTCTTCAACATAAACATTTATTAACCATATTCCATCTTAATCAATCTTGACTTATTCTTGTATTTCTTATTCTTTTGTATTGCATCGCAATTCATAAATCCGTGAGATTACCTTTTGATATTTTAGTTTATTTTATTATTTTTTTTTGTATTATTTTAGATAAAATTCTAAAATCTTTTTTATAAGATTTCGTTATGCAATTCTTGCAATTTACCCATCATATTTTTTTTAGTTTTATCCCTTACTTGGGTTGCCTGGAAGAGATCGCTTGTTAGCAATAAGGCCGCCCGTTGCATCCCTTATAATTATTATGTATTATGTTACGCCATCGCGTTTAACCCATGTCTGAATTAAAAATAATGATTTGGAACATGTGGTGACATATATTTTCGAAACCCTGGACATATATTTTTCATAAATATTTTGAAAATAAATATACCTTTATT